CTCTCTCTCTCTTCTACTCTCTCTCTCTCTCTCTCTCTCTCTCTCTCTCTCTCTTCTCTCTTCTCTCTCTCTCTCTCCTCTCTCTCTCCTCTCTCTCTCTCTCTCTCTCCTCTCTCCTCTCCTCTCTCCTCTCTCTCTTCCTCTCTCTCTCTCTCTCTCTCTCTCTCTCTCTCTCCTCTTCCTTCCCCTCTCTCTCTCTCTCTCCTCTCCTCTCTCTCTTCTCTCTCTCCTCTCTCTCTCTCTCTCTCTCTCTCTCTCTCTCTCTCTCTCTCTCTCTCTCTCACTCTTCCCTCCCTCTCTCTCTCTCTCCCCTCTCTCTCTGTCTCTCTCTCTCTCTCTCTCTCTCTCTCTCTCTCTCTCTCTCTCTCTCTCTCTCTCATCTCTCTCTCTCTCTCTCTCTCTCTCTTCTCTCTCTCTTCTCTCTCTCTGTCTTTCTGTCTCTCTTTCTCTCTCTCTCTTCTCTCCTCTCTTCTCTCTCTACTCTCTCTCTCTCCTTCCTCTCTCTCTCTCTCCTCTCCTCTCTCTCTCTCTCTTCTCTCTCTTCCTCCTCTCTCTCTCTCTCTCTCATTCCCTCTCTCTCTCTCTCTCCTCTCATTCCCTCTCTCTCTCTCTCTCTCTCTTCCCTCTCTCTCTCTCTCTCTCATTCCCTCTCTCTTCTCTCTCTCCTCTCATTCTCTCTCTCTCTCTCTCTCTCATCCCCTCTCTCTCTCTCTCTCTCATTCCCTCTCTCTCTCTCTCTCTCTCATTCCCTCTCTCTCTCTCTCTCTCATTCCCCTCTCTCTCTCTCTCTCATTCCCCCTCTCTCTCTCTCTCTCTCCTCTCTCCTTCTCTCTCTCTCATTCTCTCTCTTCTCTCTTCTCTCTCTCTCTTTCCCTCTCTCCTCCTCTCTCCTCTCCCTCTCTCTCTCTCATTCCCCTCTCTCTCTCTCTCTCTCATTCCCTCTCTCTCTCTCTCTCTCATTCCCTCTCTCCTCTCTCTCTCTCTCCCTCTCTCTCTCTCTCTCTCTCTCATTCCCTCTCTCTCTCTCTCTCTCTCTTTATAAATGCCAAACTGCATACACACTCACAAATGAAAGATGTTCTAAGAGGCCCTTCTTCATCCTCTTGTTTTTTTAGGAAAACAACGCCTTTTGAACACCCAATAATGATTTTTTAATTTTTTTTATTTTTTATTTTTTTAATGGTTCCATTTGCTAGTAATATATGATGATAATATTGATAATTGTAAAGAAGAAAAAAAAAGAAAAGTATGAATGAGTGATTTCAGGTCTTGTAATTGCTTTTGTATTTATTTGTATATGTAAAAAGAAGTAGATGTAATAAAGAAAAAAAAAATGTAATCATGATAATAGTAATAATGTAAAACCATAGTGGACACTGCACATACACACCTACTCATGTATGAACCGCATCGTACCGTAATTCTCGAAGTGAGCAGGTTTATTGAATTAGTATATTGGTCCTTCTAGAAATATTATGTATAATGTAGTTTTTTTCTACTCGTCTACCTAAAACTACTGGGAGGTAATGAGCATCTGGCTAGGGGGGTTAAAGTACTACGTTTTGTGTACTACAAAGCCATTTTTAAGTTTATGAATACTTTATTTTATATTAATATGATTATGATTATGATTATGATTATGATTATGATTATGATTGTTGTTGTTGTTGTTGTTATTCTTCTTTTATTATTATTAATGATGATATTAGTTATTCTTTTTCTTTTTTTCTTTGTTTTTTTTTTTTCTTTCTTTTTAAGACTGGTATGTGTTTAGGCCAGTGCCAGGAAATAGGGCAAGTTGGTATTATCCATTTCCATGTGTGTGTGAGAAACTAAGCAAAATTGGCAATAGAATAATATATATTTGCATGACTATGTATGTGTGTGTATCCAATGATGCTAATAAATATATATATTTTTTATCACTCATTCTCTGTGATATGTTATTCCAAAGACTCGTCAAAATATATCTCTACGTCTCTCCATCAGGTCATGGAGGGCCTCCAGTTGGCACCAGGGCAGTCCTTCCTCAACCTGGGATCTGGCACTGGCTATCTCTCCACCATGGCAGGTCTCATTCTCGGTAAGGACGGCACTGCAAAAGGGGATTCTCTGGGGGCAGGACGTGGGTAATGCAGGTTACTTTATTCAGTTGATCATTGAGCGTTCAGTTGCGGCAGATTGAGGAAGGAGGTAGTGCAAGTTACCTTTTCCATTGATTATTTTCATTTGCGACAGATTGGAGATAGGGGTATGACACTGTTTTTTTCTGAAGGTAAAGTGGGTGTTCAATTGTGACAATTTGGGGATGGGGCAAGACAATCTGCTTTTTCTGTAAATTATCGAGTCTTCATTGCGACAAATTGAGGGTTGGGTTTAGACAGGTTGCCTTTTCTGTAGATTATGGAGTATTCAGTTGCGACAAATTGAGGATGGGAGTAAGATGAGCTGCTTTTTTCGTAGGAAATTGTGTATTCAATTGCGACAAATTTGGGATAGGGGTAAGGGGAGTTGCCTTTTCTATAGATTGTTTGGTGTTCATTGAGACAAATGTAGGGAAGGTATGAATGAAAATACTTGAGATGTATCTTTTGGACTGTGAAGATAGCTGTTCTCACTCTTACCTTTTTTTACATTGATTATTTAGTTAATGGAATATCAATGTGTAGATAGATAGCAATGGAATGTTGTCTATGTTTTATATGTGTGTTTATAATTTTGAATAGGTAAAGTGGTATACCTTACATAAAAATATAAAAAAAGATTTACTTCTTTACCATAATACCAGTATGTAGATAGGTAGATTATATGCAGGTATTAGCTCAAAGTGCCACTTCCAGTAGATTGCAAAGACATATAGGCCAGCAGAGATACTGTATTTCTATTAACATTAATAACATTGATTTTTGCAATGAACAGGTCCCTATGGAATCAACCACGGAGTTGAACTTCATGCAGATGTTGTTAGTTACGGGCAAGAGCGGCTAGAACATTTCAAGAAGAATTCATCGGCGATAGATGCATTTACATTTTGTGATCCCCAGTTTGTGCAGGGTGAGTTTTGTTCTCTTAAGAAAATTTATGTAACTCTCCTTATTTCTGTGATCATTACTTGATTTTGAACCATTAGATATCCATACTTTTATTTGATAGTATGGGTCCTTATTTATGTCATATGTGTCATTCATTCATATATGTGTCATTCATTCATATATGTGTCATTCATTATTCATATATTCATTATTCATATATGTCATTCATTCATATATGTCATTAATTCATATGTGTGTCATTCTTTCATATATGTCATTCACTAATACATGTGTCATTCATTCATATGTGTCAATTCATTCATGTGTCATTCATAAATTGGTTACTACGATTATCCTTTTTCTTTCAGGTAATTGTTTATGCCTGCCCCCTGATATGCGCCTGTATGATCGAGTGTATTGTGGAGCCTCATGTCCAGAAAGTCATGAAAACTATATGAAGGGACTTATAAATGTAAGTCTTATGTAATAAAGATGGATAAATGAATAGATAAAGATTGTAAAGGAATAGATAAGTAGAAAATGATAAACAGAAAGATAGAAAGTACCAGAGATTGATCAGGGATTGATAAGTCAACATTATAACATGACCACTTTCTTGCTCTCAGAAAACACATAGATATACAAAAGCATAAAAACCAAACCATTTCCTTAAAGGGAAATCAAATACGGCTGAACAATTTTCCTCTGACACTTTCTTGAAGGGTAGTTTAATGACGGAAAAAAAGTAAATTTTCACTACCATACTAAACTACAGTGCTCTCAACAGCCTTTATTTAACATATCTTGTCCTAATTGTTGATTAATTTTTTACCTCTTTGCCACAATACTTTGACAATGCTGTATGATCTTTCCTTACCTAGGGGCTTTACCCCCAAGCCTCTCCCTATTACAATATTTTGTATATGCCACTACTGACCTTAGATGTTGACGTGGCAGAAAATTTTCAATAAATGATTAGATGAATAATACTGGATGTTAATAGATGTAACATTTTGTGGCCATAGGATGTTCTTTGGTAAACTATTTCCTTATGAGGGTTTATTTTGCCCTTTTTTTCTGGGAATTTTCAGCCTATTGTGCAGCAGTGGTATGATACTATGTCCACTGTGATTTTACTTGCATTTCAATATTATAATGATCATGCTGCCAATGGATTATGATGTGGTTTTGGTGCCTTAAGCAAGCATCAGTGGTGCTCTGCCTCCCTTTTTGGTTATATTCTTTTGGGCTTGTATATGTAGTAATCAAGGACATGAAGTATAATACCTAGTTTGTGATCTTAGTTTTGTTGTTTTTTGGCTGTATTAAGTCTGTATGAAGGGAAAAGTGAATCGGAAATTATCAAAAGTCAGTATGCGGTGGAATAGAAGACTTCAGTATGATTTGTGATTAGGATTGATTTTTAGAGTGCTGATAGTCTCCTGTGATTGTTTATTTATCTCTTCATGGCATTAGTATGAGCTAATCTTGTATGAAATGTCAATTAATACTATGTAAAAAGTCAGTGTAGGTTTTAGAATATATTCGTTATTGATGTGTGGCTACATAATGAAATAGAACGAACTGAATCATTGCATCTGAAAGACAGAGTAAGCCTTGGCTAAAGTAGGTTATAGATTATGCATTCTCCTTTTTGGATTGGCCACATTTTCTCCGCATGCAGGATCTTTTTTCAAGTTCGCTGATTATGTTCATAGTAGTTTTTTGTATGTGGAGAAACAGATTAAGCTGTTATATTGTATTTGGAAATTGAAGATGGATAATGATTTGACTCGGATATTTTCTTTGTTTCCTAGATAGTTTGCCAACCTAGATCTGTTTCCAAAGTTAGATGTGGCTAGGGTGATGGAGGCTTTGGCCTTTTTTCTCTAATTATCTGATAAACCTCTTTGTTTATTTTATTTCAACTTAGATTTGTTCCTCTTTTGAAAGAACTTTTGACTTGTATTTCTCGTTTGGAAAGTTAATGAAAATAGATATGCCCCTAGATAATTGGCTTGATGATTTTTTGTGAAGTAGAATTCTTATACCCTTAGTGCTGGCTCTCTACTCACATGGTACATTCTGTGTACAGGAAGGAGGAATATTAGTCATGCCACTGAATGACCAGCTGGTGAAGATTACGCGTAAAGGACCAAGCTCTTGGGATGTGGAGTCCCTGCTGCCAGTCTCATTTTCGTCGCTGGTCATGCCGGACTCCAGTCATCCTCCGTCTACAGTGAACCTCCGTAAGTGAACTTTTTATTTGTTTATTTATTTATAAATTTGTTTATTTTCTAGAGACCTTATTTTAGACAGTGTTGGCAGTATGCAATATTTATTAAAAATCACACTTCCTGATTGGTGCACTGGAGCTGTGTGGTAGTCGTAGTTTAGGCAGAGATGTATATTAGAAATGGGTAATATGAAAATTAGTAGTGCTTATTGTGATTTTATTTGGAAAAGGGACGGTTTTGCCAAGGAGTTCTTTGGTGTTCAGTTAGAGAGGTTGGTTTTAAATGATGCTGCTGTCAAAATATGCTGTTGCTTTCTTCTTCTTTTTCTTTATGACTGTTCTTCATAAGTGCATTTGTGGTCTTCCTTATGGAAATTCATTTGAAGGTACAATTGCACCTTGAATCTAAATACCATATAAGGATGAACCATATTAATGTTGACAATTATAGAAAAGGTATGAATGAGAATGGATATCTTCACAATACAAGAGATGTATTTGACCGGTTTTGATTCTTAGTCAGAAATACATGAATTTCTGACGAAGATAGAATTGAAACCGGTCGAATACATCTCTTGTATTGTGAAGATATCCATTCTCATTCATACCTTTTCTATATATACCATATAAGGATTGATTTTATTTTTAGGTAATGTTTGCCTGTAAATATTATGATCGTTTTCTTGGCTTCTCTAACTATGTCACATCTTTCGTAATTCAGCCACTTTACCTATCGATAGAGAAAAGAAAGTTGCACACCCTGGAAACACTTTGTTGGCTGTTAATGGTTGCTATTAGTAGACGGCAAGTTTCACCAACTTTGCCTGTCCATACTTAAAAAAGAAGAAGAAGAAAAAAAAGTCACATTCCCTCTCAACCCCTAAATGTGGTGGCACTGGATATGCTACATCCAACCTGATGATACTCAATCGATGACAGCTCCTCATAAAGTGATAAGATATTTTCCCGCGTTTTGTAATGTCAAGAAGAGGTAGAGAGGAGTGTGAAGAAGTAAGTCTGAAACTGTTTGACATGATTCTACCCTTCACATTGTATATATCTTCTTCTGAAATACATGACTTTGTGTATTTCTGACAAAGATGTATTCGAAACCGGTTGAATACATTTCTTATATTTTAAAGATGTTCATTCTTGTTCATATCTCTTTGACATTTTTCAAAATGAATATGGTTCAAGCAATATATAAGGATAGATATGTTGTGAAAACAATATTTTTTGGAATCAGGAAGTTTTGGGACATGTACATAGTAGATATCGTATTTTTGTATTTTTTTCAATAAAATCTCTGCCTACGACAGTGCTAATCTTAACTTCTGAATATAACCTGATCATAACTGGATTGAAGCCGTCTGAACTCTCATTCCCAGTGCTTCTTATCTGAGTGTGTGTAGGTCTTCCATTTCAAGCTATCTGTTTTAGAGACGTGTATTTTTGAGGCATATGTTTGAAGGTTTCAAAGTTGTAATACTGTAAGCTGTCGTTAACGGGAATGGCAGTAGGAGTAAGTTTTATTGATATAAAAATGTGTTTTTATATAAGGAAATCAGCATTTTTCTTTATCACTTTGCTATGATAGAAGCAATCACTTCAGTCTAAATATTTTTTTTAAATATATTTTTTTCTCATTGATACAAATAAAGCCCTTATTTCACATACGAAGTATAGCTTGGTGTATTTTATGATTATGTTACATATTTTCTTCCAAATCAACAGAGGAAGAAAGTACTAACTGATGTATGCTCTGTGTCAGCTTGAGACCACTTATATATCTGTTATAAAAGTGAATAATGATAAACAAATAGACATACACAGTTAGATAAACAACTGTACTTTAGCCAAAATGCAATAGCTCTGAGTTCTGGATGTTTAGACAATTTAATTGATCTTTACCTGTTTTGTGGATTCCATTTAAACGGCTATAGATTGTACTTTCAATTTCATAAAAGTAAGGAATTCCAAACGAGTTGCTTTCTTTCATTTTAGCCCCCTTGCCGCCAGGGATGACATCTGGGCACAGGCCATTGCCACAGCGAGTTTAATTTATTGGTTTTACACAGATGGCTCGCTTGGTCACCAGTGGGTCAATCACTGTTTGCTCTTGCCATATTTCCCCTTTCTTTGAATATTTGGGATTTTTTTTACTGACATTATAAATTTTACAGCTTTATTAACAATACTAATAGCGGTATAAAATTAAATAAAATATTTACCCATCTCTTTGAGTTTTGTAAATATTTTCAGATTTTATATTGCAATTAGAATTGTTAATAACACATTAATAAATGTAATGTCAGTGATTAATAGTTATAGCATTAAAAAAAACAAAAAAACAAACTCAAGGAAGGCCAAATGGACTACGTAATGACTCCTTGGTGTCTGAGCATTTGTGGAGCCATCTCTGTGTGGATACATTTCTCAAGAGAATACTACAGGGAATGGGGGAGTTTCCTGGCGGCTGGAAACTCCCCCATTAGTTGACTTCGTAGATTAATTTGAGATAGAGGATGTATATAAGATATTAATCTTTGATGGTGGTATGTTTATTTTAGTGTCTTTTTCTTTTTTCAAATGGTATTATGTTTTTTCTCATGTGGTTTTATTGCCAACAGCTACTGCAGAGCTCATGGACCTCCAGGAGATCTGTCGTCAGGAACTTCGCTCAATATTACGAACCAATATCGAGAAAGAACATCCAAATTTGGTGACCGCTGCAAACAGACCAGTACAAAGACAGCAGAGGAATCGTGATCGCCGACAGATATGCCGCATTGTTGTACCCTATGCCCCTCCTGTGCCCTTTTATGAGTCAGATGATGATCCGCGGATGATGTCTGATGAAGAGCTAGAAGACAGAGATGATAGGGACACACTGTATGTTGCTCAGCGCCACACTGCGAATCAAATATCTGCTGTGATTGAGTTAGCTCGTAGTCTTGCAGGACAGAGGAGGCTAGAGAGGGAAAGTGAGGAGAACGAGGCCAGACAGAATGAAGAGGAGGAGGAAGAGGAGGAAAGGGAAGATGATGTGGATGGACTCAAAGAGGAAGAACAGGTGGAAGAGGAAGAGGAGAGGGAGGTGGATAATGCTCCAAGCTCACCAGTTAATGGGAAAATGAATAAAGAACGAGAATTATTTGGAGGCCTAACGAGGATGTCGTTCTTAAAAGACAAAAGTCGCAAGGAAGCTGGAGTCGAGGAAGTGAAGGAAGAAGAAGTAGAAGGAGCCGAAAGTGTAGAGACACAAGAAGGTGCATCATCATCAGTCCTAACAATGCCGCAGTCTGATCCAATTCCAATGACTTCAACACCAGTGATGTCTGTAAAATCCAATAAAAAACGTGAGAAATTTGACAGTGGCGTAGGTGACGAAATAGAAAATGGGAAGGGACCAAGTTCAGAATCTGACGTGGGTGAAGAAGACATAGACATGGACATTGATTCTACGGATTCTGATTATTCTGACAACTCGCCCCCAAGGACCAAAGTGACACGTCTGCTTGATGCAGATGACCCGTACCCGAGTGGAAAAGACTGCAAGGGACATTGGAAGCACAGAAAGGAAGATGACGAAACCAAGGAGGGACCAGACGAAAATGAAGGCTCCGGTAGTCCTCCGTCCCCTGTTGAGTCGTATTCAACCTTGATGAGAGAGAAGATTTCTCTGTTGCCACTTCCTCAAGCCCTCAAGTTGTACCTGAATTACCATAGGGAATTGTAAGCTCGACCTGTGAACAGTTCCCTGCAGTAAGATAACCAAGTCCTATTACTCCTAGTACCTATCTTCCAGATGTATTTACATAACCTATAATACACAAATTTTGGAGGAAAGTATATAAACAGTGGATGGACCTAGCAAGTGTCACATTTAAAGGTAATAAGTCAGTGCAATTACAAAATGCAGATCCCACCAAAGTGGGTTAATGTAACTGCATGTTAACCAATCTACTTTTGCTTTTTGTTATTGTATAGTAGATAAAGCATTAATATGTGTAATGACTTGAGTGTCTGAGGAATGATTTCTTGCACGATGCTTTATCTGATACAGAAGAGAGGAAAAGGACAGATGCTACAAGGAACAGCATTTTCTTCGGCATTATTGGCATCCATTTGGCAAAATGAGAAAAAAGAAAAGAAGCAAGACCACAGAGAAACCTGAATAATATTAGTCAGTTTTAGGAGGTAAGCAGCCGTAAAGCATAAAGGGAAAGGGAAGGTTTGAATTCCGTCGTCAAAAAACAAAAACAAAAAAAAACTATTTTTATACAGCATATATAAACAGTGTCTGCAGTGACTCCCCCCTAAAGAAAAAAAAAAAGTAAAAAAAATAAACAAAACAAAGCAAAAAAAGCTATCAGGAAGCACCTTGTAATGAATCAAACAAGTGTAAGATGTTATTTGTTTATTGTTTTCAATGCCAAAATAAAGAAAACAAAAAAAAGTGTAGAATGTTGTGTTATAGTGTAAGAGTGTCACAATAACAGGAGATTGCAAAGATTTTTGTGTATCAGAGTTAGAGACGTGTTTACTCTTGATTATAAATCCCATGTGATAGATTTTTTATTGTAGTTTGGGAGTATATATACTTGATAGTGTGAGTTTATTTTCCATAAATGCATTGATTGTGAAAAAGAAATGACTTCTTTAATTACTCATCAGGAAGTTATTTTCAGATCATAAAATAGCTACTCTGGCCATTTTGTATCTATGTCTCCATTAGAGGAACGAGTATAAACTCCAGTACGAAAGTATTAACCAGTTTCAACATATCTCGCAGTTACAGTGCCGAGAAGTCTTTTTGTTGATCATTATGTCAGCCTAATAGCGGATTCTACAATAGAGATGATTGCTCAGGCATCTTTGGGCATTGTGTCAAGACAAATGTTAGTTAAAAGGAGCTTAAGACTTGGAAAAAGTTCTGTTTAATAAAAGAGCAACTGACATACCTCGGGTCAAGTGAATGCTACAGTAACAAGCTTCTTTTTGCGTAATTGTCCGAGAATCAGAGAAATACAAACACATTAGTATGTACTTTATAACCACGTGTTTTTCATTGCATATTCAGTACTCTTGATTGATTAGGGTATTTCGAGTTGGATGTTATGTTGCCTCCAATAAGCCAGCCAATTTACAACCCTATATATATATATATATATATTATATATATATTATATATACTTATTAATAAGGAAGATTAGTAAATAAAAGTTAAAAAAAAAAAAGATACATATAACAATGCTAATTAACATTATATTTAAATATGTTTGGTATGCTCTCTTTACCCATGTAGCAAATTTATATATGTGGACATTTTCTCAAGACTTCTGAAGCTGCAACTATTCAACCAAGCACAATTATGGGTAAATTTTTAGTGTAGGTCCACATCTGAAAATGCATTGAATTTGGGATCGGTGGATTCCTTATGTTTAGTGAGCATTTATTGTAGTAGTAGCTGGGTTAGACAACATTTGCAAGGAAATCAGACTGGATGGGTCTGGAGGGCACAAGGTATCCCAAGGGAATCGGGAGGGTAAAATTTTCGAAATTTTAGTAAGGGCAAGGTTTATTTGTGTAATCCATGTTTGTCATTGTTAGGGGCTATGGTACTACCCCCCAAAACCCCTGCTTGAAATACAAAATCTGCATCACATCCGACTGGCAGTGTGGAGGGGTTGAATGATGTGCCCATGTTAGTGATGTCACAATTCAGATACGGCTATGGCTTGGCAAACTAAACATCTGTCGCTGCTTGCTTAATCCTGAATCGATATCAAATTCAGTGGCTTTTGAGATCTAGACCTTTTTTTTTTAGAAATTTATCCAGCTATGTACTTGACACCATTCCAAAAACACAATATTCATATGGTTTTATTTTTATTCATATTTTTTCATTATTACAGTTTTTACATTGTTTTACAATTTGAAAACTATTTTGCCACACCAACATCGAAGGTCTTTAGTGTCTTACAAAACCAGTAGGATTGGCATTCACATATCTGACCGCTTCCTAGGTGACTTTTTGAGCAAGGCAGTTGTCATAAACCAGAACTGACGATAGGGGGAAGGGAATGATTCTGCTGATCTTACTCGACCCCCCCCCCCTCTCTTTCCTTTGTCTCTCCCTTCCCTCCCTCCTCCCTCCCTCTCCCTTGCCCTTCTCTGGTGTCTTTCCGTCTACCCTGCCTGCACTAGGTGGCATTTCCAATATATAATCCGTTTCCAGATTCTTTGCCTCCCCCCTTTTACTAATACTTCTCTAAAGTGTCCACTTATTTGTGTGCACATATTGTGACTTAGCTGACTAGTTGGGAGGTTGAATGTCGACCTTATCCCTTCTGTTAAGGGATAAACCGATGTAAAATGTGTTTGTTATTTTTTGCTTATCCTTTTTTATGTGTGTCCTATTTCTTTGTTTTCAGTTGTAGCATTCCAGACCATGTAAAAGGTTTAAAATTTGTCCTCTTTTTCATGTATTTTCCTTTTTTTTTCCAGCTTTTTTTTTTTAAAGCAGAAATGCCTCGTTTCATTTTTGGTGATGAATGATATGTTTAACGTCTGTCCCTTGGAAACAATTTATATAAGTGACAAATTAAACATGTAGTGATTTAGTGGAATCCGTTTTCACTATTAGTCAAGTGATATAATTTTAAATAAACCAAAGCTGAATTTTCTTTTTGTTTCGTTTAAACCAAGATTATGATTTTTTTTTTCTTTCCTTCTCTTGTTTTTAGCAGAACTATCTAGATATATGAGAGCTGTGAAATACAGATGATTGTGAAGGCAGTTCTAGGAAGACCAAATGTTGCTCAAACAGTGTGTTTGAACTGTACAGACCACTCGCATAGCTGTTGAGAGAACGAACTGGAATTAGTTTAAGAGTCGATTCTACTTCACAAATGATGGAAATAATATTTATGATGCAAGTGGAAATGAAAATACCAAATTCATTTCCATTGTGGCATTAACTTATTATACATGTGCTTTTATTTATACATATATTATACACATGAAATGTGATAATGGCAGTTGATGTAGAAAATTATATACTCCAAACTGTTTGGAGGATATAAGACATTTAATTATTGTAATATTTACATCCTAACCATATATCAGAGCTATAACAAAAATAATAAAAATTGTCAATTTTTTCACTGAATTATTATGACTTTTTTTTGTATTATCAAGAACCCATTACATATGTACAAGTTATAACAAGGAAATGCTAACTAGCATGCTAAAAGTTATTTTTTCTTTTACCCTTTTTAAATCTACACCAAAGATTCCTGTCACTGTATTTAAGTAGTAATATTGAGAAATGATAACTTTGTGTGGGCACTTATTGAACATGCATACTAAAGAAAAACAAATTCTGTGGATGTCCTTATTAATCATAAAGCCTAACAAATATAGTATAGTTATTGACAAACGTAAATTTTTATATTTCAATAGGAAAAAAAATAAATGCAACAAAGTAATAGACACTAGAACCACTTCCTATTTAACATTAACATGCAGTAATATTAGAATGTTATATATTCTTGTTATTCAAATGAGAACTGACAATAATATAACCTATTGTGATTATCCTCCTCTCCGTCTTTTACTACATTCTCACTGTCAGGAATTCTTTTTGAAAACATAAACTAAGAATAAATTGCAAGGCCCAGTAAGGAACTCTAGTCTAATTTGGAGATTAAACATTCTTTTTCCCGCAGTTACATGCCAAAGAATAAGTTACTATCCTCCCACTGTGTAAAAATTGAGTTTCCATATCAAATAAACTTTGATGAAAATAAAGTACTGGAATAAATCAAAATAAAATAACACGCAAAAGACGAATAGGCATTCAGGTAATGGTTAATGGTTAAAACAAGTAAATGTGCTAAACATCGAAGGTCATAGAGCAATATGGTAAAGTATTGTGGCGAAAAGGGTAAAAATGAGTAAATGAGTAGGACAAGATGTGTTAGGTTTCAAAGGTCATAAAGTGCTATTGGATAGTAGTGAAAAGGATAAACCAGGGAAGAAATGAGTAAGATGGAGTTTAGCAAAATGGGGAAAGGGAGGTAAGGGTGATTAGATCAGATGGAGAGAAGTTACGTCTAAGGAAGGAAGAGGAACATTGCAAAAGAGCTATTATAAAGTAATCAGTGGACAATAAGGGTAGAAAAGGGAGTTGGAGTAGGAGGAGAAGAATCCGTGGAATGCGACAAGGCATTAGGAGGAGGAGGTGAAGTATCAGGAAGAAAGCCAGATGAGGAAGGATCCAGAGAAGGACGCTGTTGTGACAGAAGAGAGTCACATGCTCATTCAGGTGCGAGCGGAAGGGATAATAGGAAAAAAGGGGAAGGAGATGCAGTTGGAGGAGAGAGTGGGGTATGTTAGGAGAGAGTGGGAAGAAGAGGGATAAGGGGAGGACATGAGTAAGAGGAGGGATGTCAGCGTTGACTCTGAATGCAGAGGGAAGGGGAACAGAGAGATTGGAGAGTGGGTGAGAGAGATTTGTGTTTTGAATCATGGTTAGGAAGTTTTGGATGTCCTCAAGTTTCTGGAGTGGAGCTGGGCAAAGAGGTTTTCTTGTGAGGAAGAGAAGAGGAGACAGATGTCCAAGGAACAGGAAATGGTGTGTGTTGGAGAGAATGTGATAGAAGATGGGGTGGAATGTTTAGATTGTCTGGTGCGATAGATAATGTGATAAGGATGAGGGGTCGACATCAGGGAAGTGGTAGAGATTGGAGTAAGTGGATTTAGACGAAAAAATACTTTGTCTGGCGGAGGGATGAGTAAAAGGTAGAGATGGTATGGGCAGGGAGAAGAGATACTTTGAAAAACCTTCCTTTCTGGCCTCGCGTAGAGTGAGGCCGAATTTGAATTTGAGAGCTGATACCTCCGACTTGAACTCACTGGCAGATTAGCTCCTATAAAAAAAAAACATCATGGGAGCCACCAAACTAGCTCACGTGAGCGATTGTGCAGAGCCATTTGAACGGTCACGACTAGACCGGGCACACGCAGGGCAGCGGGTTGTGGTGCCCCGCTTGGCTGAGTGGCCAAAATGCCAACATTTCCGACATTGAATGTGAAGGGGTCGATGCGGTCGGACAGGGAAGATTTAATAGAAAATCATGAGGTTGGCCATGTCTATAACGTAATCTTGGCCATATTGGTGTAGTCCTTTTGTAGGTAATGTAGGCCTATGGGAGGATTAGTATAGCGCTGTACTGCTACTGCATCAAAGTCAACGAGGCAGGCCAGCAGTCCTTATCGTGGCCAGGGCAATCAGCCGGGGAGAGGGAAACAGTTCCGGTACGAGTATTAAGGGAGGAGTAAGGTTGGGCAAGAACAGGTTTGCCAGCGAGGTCAGTCAGGTTAGATAATGGGACTCGGACGTAACTATTACAGAGAGTGAGAGGTCGGAGCGGCTGCGAGAGGGAACTTCGCCTGCTTGTTATTGGAGACATTGTCAGAGTATGAAGATACTGTCAAGGGCTGTAAGAAGAATCGCGAAAAAAAATCGATCCCCTTGGCTGACCCGAGGGCTGAGGTCAGGGGTCATTCCAGCAAGATTACCGAGCAGAATTAGCACAAACCGTTTCTGGGGCACACACACACACGCACACGCACATGCACACACACACACAACACACACACACTAGGGAATTTTGAGTTACCAGAGCAAAAAAGTAATATAGGAAAAAAAAGGAGGGGGTGGCCCTGGAAGGGAGGGGGGGAGGGAGCCAGACGGGTAAGCGTCTGGGGGGGGGGGGATGTGTGCTTGCTAATCGTTGGCAAAAATCCAACCACGCCAAGCCTATTCGGAAAATAAACCACGTGCATTAGAAGTCAACATTGTCGTAAAATCTCATGTACTTCGCCTGCCCCGAGTTCAAAATTCACTCCCGAGTCTACATCATTCGAATGCCACTACTTATACCCTATTCTCTTAAATCTAATATTAAAACGGTGTCTTTTACCGGTGAGATCTAAACACAGAGAGCTCTTACCAACCCTCGCACAAATGTTTCCCTTCCACTATTCAATATTTCTTCAATAAAAATAATACTCCCTTACCTAAACCACCATAATCTTTTCCCTCATCTTCAACCTTTCAACACTATTCTGGATAGTTGACACATAACAACTATCACCTGACATCCCCCTTTACTATACCTTCCTATAGTGCTATATGACCTTAGATGTCTAGCACATTTATCTTAACCATTAACCATTATTATTAACCATCAATAAAAATATAAAAAAATCAATCAATAAAAATAAAAATTGAGAAGCCAAATTCAACCCAAGAGGACATCAGGACTTACACATAATCCAGTGATTCGTCGATCCTTCAGTAAATTTGTTTCTTGCTCAAGTTTATCCTGTTTCTCGTCGACCCAACATCTCAGTGGCTGTGGTTGCTCCTTGGTTTGTGTTGAGAGGGAGGGCGGAGAGAGGAGGAGGAGAGGAGAGAGGAGAGAGAGGAGAGGAGGAGGAGGAGGAGAGAGGAGGAGGAGAGGAGGGAGAGGAGGAGGAGGAGGAGGAGGAGGCGAGGAGGAGAGGAGGAGGAGGAGGAGGGAGGAGGAGGGAGGAGGAGGAGGAGGAGGAGGAGGAGGAGGAGAAGGAGGAGAGGAGAGAGGAGGAGGAGGGGAGGAGGAGGAGGGAGAGAGGAGGAGGAGGAGGGAGGAGGAGAGGGAGAGGAGGGAGGAGGAGGGAGAGGAGGAGGGAGGAGAGGAGGAGAGGAGGAGGAGAGGAGGAGGAGGAGGAGGAGGAGGAGGAGGAGGAGGAGGAGGAGAGGAGGGAGGAGAGGGAGAGAGGAGAGGAGGAGGAGGAGGAGGAGGAAGGAGGAGAGAGGAGAGAGGAGGAGAGGAGGAGGAGGAGGAGGAGGGAGGAGGAGGAGGAGGGGAGGAGGAGGAGAGGAAGAGAAGGAGGAGGAGGAGAGGGGAGGTAGGAGGAGGAGGAGGAGGAGGAGGAGAGAGGAGGAGGAGGAGGAGGAGGAGAGAAGAGGAGGAGGAGGAGAGAGAGGAGGAGGGAGGAGGAGAGAGAGGAGGAGCGAGGAGGAGAGGAGAGAGGAGGGAGAGGAGGAGGAGAGGAGGAGGAGAGGAGGAGGAGGAGGGAGGAGAGGAGAGAGAGGAGGAAGAGGGAGAGGAGGGAGAGAGGAGGAGGCGAGAGAGGGAGTGAGGCAAGAAGGAGAGGAGTGAGGGAAGAGGGAGTGAGGCAAAGATGAAGAGGGAGAGGAGGGAGTGAAGGAGAGAGGGAGGAGGGAGAAGGGAGTTAGGGCGAGAGGGAGGAGGGAGGAGGGAGAAGGGAGTTAGGGGAGAGGGAGGAGGGAGGAGGAGAGAGGGAGTGAGGGAGGAGGGAGTGAGGCAGAGAGGTGAGGAGGGAGTGAGTGAAGGAGAGAGGGAGGAGGAGTGAGTGAAGGAGAGAGGGAGCGAGTGAGTGAGTGAAGAGAGAGGGAAGGAGTGAGTGAGGGGGAGGGGGAGGAGTGAGTGAGGGAGGAGGGGGAGGAGTGAGTGAGGGGAGAGGGGGAGGAGTGAGTGAGGGAGAGGGGAGGAGTGAATGAGGGGGGGAGGGGAATGGAGAGAGAGAGAGAGAGAGAGAGAGAGAAGAGAGAGAGAGAGAGAGAGAGAGGGAGAGGGAGAGGGAGAGGGAGAGGGGAGAGGAGGGAGAGGGAGAGGGGAGGGGAGAGAGAGAGAGAGAGAGAGAGAGAGAGAGAGAGAGAGAGAGAGAGAGAGAGAGAGAGAGAGAGAGAGAGAGAGAGAGAAAGAGAAAGAGAAAGAGAAAGAGAAAGAGAAAGAGAAAAGAGAGAGAGAGAGAGAGAGAGAGAGAAAGAGACAGACAGAGAGACGGAGAGAAAGTGAGAGAGAGAGAGAGAAAGAGAAAGTGAGAGCAAGACCAAGAAAGAAGATGGATAAATAGATAAATAACAGGTAGACCGAGAGAGAGAGAGAGAAAACTACCGCATTTAAATCGTACATCTGTTGTCTCTTGCACGTGTTGAGAGAAGGAGAACATTGATAAAAATGACAAGTAGAATATTTGTTTATTGAATTCATTTACAGTAATGCACTTCTACACAATTAAATAAAATATATACAACGAATAATGAATTTACATAAAACAAGTATATTAATAAGAACAGAATACAATAACGACTAGAAAGATTTTATCATCATAAAGATCAAATAAAATGGGACTAAAATACCACCTTTCTGTACACATCACACAGACTTCCATTCAAAAGCGAACAAAAAAAAAACAATGGCAGTCTGTACGCTTTCAAAATCCCATAAAATGAAGAAAAAATATACATAAAGTTACCATCTTATTTAAATCTCTTACAAAACTGAAGATGAAGAAGACGGAGAAGATGAGAAGATGAAAGAGAGATAGAGAATAGGAAGAGGTAAAACAGAAGAAAAAGGGAGAAAGGGAATAAAAAAGGAGGAGGAGAAGCGGGAAAAGGAGGAGAAGGGGGAAAAAGGAAAGGAGAATAAGAAAAAGGAGAAGAAAGGAGAAAGAAGAAAAAAAAGGAGAAAAAGAAGAAGAGATAGAAGCATAAACAGAAGAAGAAAAGAGAAGCAGAAAACGGAGAGAAAAGAAAAAAAAAGGAAGAACAGAAAATTAAAAAAGAAGCACAAGATAATAAAAACTACACATCATCATCATCATCTTCGCCATCGTCGCCACCACCTTCCACCGCAGGCAGAGTCGACAGCAACTCGCGGGACACCAAGAAGGGTTTGATAATCTCCCTCCTCTGCCGAGCGGGACACTCCTCGTCCAGCACCCTCTGCATCTCCCTCTGGGCCACCTGCACCACCTCCTCCGTCCTGTTAATCAAGGCAGCTCGCAGGACTGTTGGCGTGAGGGGGGGAGGGGGGAGGGGGGAGAGAGGGGGTTGATTGATTAGTCAAAGACACACCTGGTGCAATCATCAAGGTCATATGCCACCGAATTATTGTTTACGTATGTAAATCATGGGGTAATTAAATAAATAAGTGAAAAAAATATATATAGATAAATAAATAAAATAGAATAAGTAAAAAAAAATATAATAAATATATATAGATGAATAAATAAAATAGAATGAATAAATAAAACAAATCAGTCAAATAGTAGAATAATTCACTTAATTATATCTTACTGGGAAGACCAGCTTCCCTCATAAAAACCAGGACCTCATGTCCAGCTGTTTGGCCTCTTTCCAGAGAGAGAGAGAGAGAGAGAGAGAGAGAGAGAGAGAGAGAGAGAGAGAGAGAGAGAGAGAGAGAGAGAGAGAGAGAGAGAGAGAAGAGAGAGAGAGAGAGAGAGAGAGAGAGAAGGGGAAGAAAATGAGTTCATACTCTGGTCTCGTGGCGTCTTGTGGATCAGAGAAATGAGGGTGGAAATGGTTGAAATGTGTGCGTGTTATCAAGACTATGTTTAATGTGAAAGTAAAAGGTGTTAACGTCTATGGTTATTATTAAGACTGTGTTTGTGCTTATATGATGCAATTCTATGGTAGAATACGTGTGTTAAAACCATGTGTTTACGATTCATGTCCTAAGCTGCATTTTTTATATGGAAGGTCAAAGACGACTTGAAATTGTGGAAATGGGTGCAGTTTTTAAGGTGGCTCTCAAAAATATACTATTGTCTTGTCTTGTTTCTGCATACATGTGCATCATCCCTTACAATCTATTCGTTTCTAACCGGTTCTTCCTCTCATTTGATTTCTATCCCTCAATCCCTAACTAAACCTGCCTCCATCTAGCTCTATTCACTGTATCTCTTCATCTCGACACTCTCGTCTCTCTCAACCTCATCTTCTCTTTACATTCTCGTCAATTTTCCTTTTGACTCCCCTCACTCCCTCTCTCTCTCTCTCCTCTCCCTCACCTCTCTCACTCTCCCTCTCCTCACTCCCTCCGTTCCCTCCGTATTTATCCAAATAAGCTGTTCAAAATCAAATCTCCCTCCTCATGCTTTCCCTCTCCTTCTCCCTCCCTCTCTCTCGTTTCCTCTGAGATTGCACCAGACTCTCCCAAGGCCACACCTTCCAACTAGCAGGATCACGTGACCAATCAGGGCACGCGTCGCCGCCTTGTGAACTTAGGTCACGCCCCCTTTGCACAGGTAAAGAAGAGGAAGGAAAAGAAAGAAAAGAAGAAAAAGAAAGAAAAGAAGCAGCAAAAGAAGCAAAAGAAGAAGAAAAAAGGAGAAGGCGAAAATACGAAGGAAAGGAAAAAAGAAGACGAAAATACGAAGGAAAGAAGAAAAGAAGGAAAAGAAGAAGAAAAAGAAGGAAACGACAAAGTAGTAACGCTTGTCCCGTTCGGAAAAATAAACAGGCAATAGAAAGAATAGAATTCAATACCACTTGTTTGGACAAATACTGGTTCTATTTCTTGATCTTATGAAAATATCAGAAAATACCTTAGCGACTGTCAAACTATACTTTGAAAAAATGGTCTTCTGACAGATGCAAGCCAACACTGCTATAAATCCTAAGGAAAATGATATAACGGCTTGAGAAGTTGTCAAAAAACTTTTTTATTATTTCTTTTATTTTTTATTTATTTTACTTTCTTATTCATTTATTATTATTATTTTTTTACACGGGCACCATGGCGAAATGTACAAAAAAGTAACTGATACTTAAATATATCTTAACAGGCTTGGTATCTGCTTTGAAACCCCAACACGAATCATGATTGCAGTCTCTCTATACTTAGCTTCATAAATTATCAATAAGTCAAAACAAAGGCTAAACAATCTTTCTGCAAAGATAGTCGTGAGGGAAGAACAAGAAAACACACGAATATGTCGAAGGCCTTTTCGTCATTGCTTCGTCAGGGCATGCGTGACAAGCGGGTCACACTATAGAGATAGCTATGACCTCTGGCAAGATCATGGGAGATGTTCATAAGAGAAAAGAGGTCAAACCGCAGCAGACTCCTCAAGCCAGGTGTTCAAGCACATCCTTCGGTGGTTGCGATAAAGTGTCCATAGGCGAGACAGCACGAGGACTGCACGAACAACGAATCAGCCAACACCGCAGCCCTCTCTGACGCCACGACACGAGGAGCGCCTTCGTTGTTCACGCAGACACCGACGGTCACCTCCGGAAGCGGTCCCAGGCCTCCATCATAAAGCAAGGCCTGACCCCACGACAAAGGAAGATGGCAGAAGCGGCGTTCATTCATACAACGAACGACTTCAACACCGCAACGGGAGCCACGGACTATCTATAGCCGTCGGACACCTGATAACCTATTCGACCTGGCCGCCTAGTACTAGTATATATACACCTCTATGTACCTCTTATCATGTATGCCCGGATGAAGCAATAGCGAAAAGGCCTTCGGCATATCCGTGTTTTCTTGTTCTTCCCTTCGTTGTTCCGGTTGCAATTTGTTCAACATGAATTCCACAGAAGTAGCCTTAAGAGGTTTAAAAAAGAATGGTCATGCAACCCTGGCACTTAAGCAGCTCGAATGGCTAAAAGTGGGTGAGAAATGACCTGTGTCGTGGTTTTCAAATGAATACTTAGTTACTTGGCTATATAGTAACTGTTAATGAAATTAGAGACAAAGTGATAACCTACTCTTTTTCAGGGACTAATACCATGTTTGTTAAGATACTCGTAATGGTAAGACACCCTCAACTAGAAATACAGGTTCTCTAGTTCTAAATATCGACTGGAGAAGTATATTCGATATAAACAAACTAATCTATATGGTAGTCTATCTGTGATGATGTATTTAAGCGACATTACGGCTGCACAGTGAATATTATACATCGCCATTCTATGATCTACTGTCAATATCCGAATGTATTATTTTCTGGTTCATATTTCTACGATATTGCTTGTTTTTGGTCGGTAAATATAAGTCTCTTATCCTTTTATGATACGTATGAGTGCATTCCTTCATGTAAATCTTATGTAAATAGGCCTGTGTGACACTTTACAAATTTATTTTACTTTTTAAAATTTTTAAGAATATTGTAATGAATAAGAAAAAATCTCCCTCTCCTCCTCTCCTTCTCTCCCTCCCCCTTCCTTTCCCTCTGTGTCTTTCTCTACTCCTCTCTTTTCTCCTTAAATCCCTCCTCTCTTTCTCTCTTTTTCCTCATCTGCCTCCATCAGTCTCTGCAGGACCTCATCTTCCCCTTTCCTCTCCCTACCCGTCACCAACTCTCCTCTCCCTTCCCCTCTCCCTACCCGCACTCCTCTCTCCTCCAACAAACCTCCCTCACTCACTCTTCTTGCACTTGACGTTGCCTTCTTCTCCATCCTCTACGCAGACCTCATCTCCCCTTCTCTCCCTCTCACACTATTCACTCCCCTCACCACCTTTCCTCTCCTTCCCCTCATCCTACCCCACACTCACTCTTCCTGCACTTCGTGTTGGCTTCTCTCTCCCATCAATCTTCCTCCTTCCCTCTCCTCTCTCCTACCCCTCATCTTCCCCTTCCCTCTCCTCTCCCTAGCCTCATCTTCCACTTCCCCTCTCCTATCCCTACCCCCCATCTTCCCTTCTCTCCCTCCCTCTCCTCTCCCTACCCTCTCTCCCTCTCCCTTCTTCCCTTCCTCTCCCTCTCCTCTCCCTCCCCTCATCTTCCCTTCCCTCTCCCTCTCCCTCCCCCCTTCCCTTCCTCCTCTCCCTACCCTCATCTTCCCCTTCCCTCTCCCTCCCTCTCCTCTCCCTCCCTCATCTTCCCCTTCCCTTCCCTCTTCTCTCCCTACCCCTCATCTTCCCCTTCCCCTCTCCCTCCTCCCTCTCCCTACCCTCATCTTCTCCTCTCCCTACCCCTCATCCTTCCCTCTCCTCTCTCCCTATCTTCCCCTTCCCTCTCCCTCTTCATCCTCAATCTTCCTTCCCTCTCCCTCTCCTCTCCCTACCCCTCATCTTCCCCTTCCCTCTCCCTCCTCCCTTCCTCTCCTCTCCCTACCCTCCCCCCACCCCTCATCTTCCCTTCCCTCTCCCTCTCCCTCCCTCCCCCTCCTCCCTCTCCCTACCCCTCATCTTCCCCTTCCCTCTCCTCTCCTCTCCCTACCCCCATCTTCCCCTTCCCTCTCCCTCTCCTCTCCCTCCCCTCATCTTCCCCTTCCCCTCTCCTCTCCTCTCCTCCCCTCCATCTTCCCTTCCCTCTCCTCTCCTCTCCCTACCCTCATCCCCTTCCCTCTCCCTCTCCCTCTCCCTTACCTCATCTTCCCCTTCCCTCTTCCTCTCCTCCTCCCTACCCCTCATCTTCCCTTCCCTTCTCCTCTCCTCTCCTCCCTCCTACCCCTCTGCTCTCCCTTCCCTTCCCTCTCCTCTCCCTCCCTACCCCTCACCCCTACCCTATACCCTCTCCCTCCCTCTCCCTCTCCCTCTCCCTACCTCATCTTCCCTTCCCTCCTCCCTCCTCCTCCCTCCCCTCATCTTCCCCTTCCCTCTCTCCTCTCCCTACCTCATCTTCCCCTTCCCTCTCCCTCTCCCTCTCCTCACTTCCCTTCCCTCTCCCTCTCCTCTCCTCCCTCATCTTCCCTTCCCTCTCCCTCTCTTCTCCCTACCCTCATCTTCCCCTCCCTCTCTCCTCTCCCTACCCCTCATCTTCCCCTTCCCTCTCCCTCTCCTCTTCTCCTACCCCCATCTTCCCTTCCCTCTCCTCCTCTCCCTACCCCTTCATCTTCCCTTCCTTCCCTTCCTCTCCCTCCTCATCTTCCCCTTCCCTCTCCCTCTCCCTACCCTCATCTCCCCTTCCCTTCTCTCCCTCCCCATCATCTTCCCCCTTCCTCTCCCTCTCTCCTCTCCCTACCCTCTTCCCTTCCCCTTCTCTCCCCTCTCCTCTCCCTCCCTCCCCTCCCTTCCCTTCCCTCTCCCTACCTCCTCATCTTCCCCTTCCCTCTCCCTCTCCTCATCTTCCCCTTCCCTTCTCCCTACCCCTCATCTTCCCCTTCTCTCCCCTCCTCTCCTCTCCTCTCCCTACCCCCTCATCTTCCCTCCCTCTTCCCTACCCCTCATCTCCCCTCCTCTCCCTCTCCCCTCTCCTACCCCTCATCTTCCCCTTCCCTCTCCCTCTCCTCTCCCTACCCCTCATCTTCCCCCTCTCCTCTCCCTCTCCTTCCCTACCTCATCTTCCCCTCCCTCTCTCTCCTCTCCCTACCTCATCTTCCCCCCTCCCTCTCCCTCATCCCTTCCTCTCCTACCCTCAATCTTCCCCTTCCCCCTTCCTCTCTCTCCCTTACCCTCAATCTTCCCTCTCCCTCTCCCTCTCCCCTCTTCCTTTACTCTCCCCTACCCCTCATCTTCCCTCCTCTCCCTCTCCTACCCTCATCTTCCCTTCCCCTCCCTCTCCCTCTTCCCTCCTCTCCTACCCTCATCTTCCCTTCTTCCCTCTCCTCTCCTTCCCTACCCTCATCTCCCCTTCCTCTCCCTCTCCCTCCCCCTCATCTTCCCCTTCCCTTCCCTCTCCCCTCCTTACCCCTCATCTTCCCCTTCCTCTCCCTTCCTCTCCTTCCACCCCTCTCTTTCCCCTTCCCTTCCTCTTCCCCTCTCACCTTAACCCCTCATCTTCCCTCCTCTCCCTCCCCCTCATCTTCCCCTTCCCTCTCCTCCCTCTCCCACCCTCATCTTCCCCTTCCTCTCCCTCTCCTCTCCTCTCTTCCCCCTCCTTCTCTTCCCCTTCCCCTTCCCTCTCCCTACCCCTCATCTTCCCTTCCCTTCTCCCTCTTCCTTCCTCATCTTTCCCTTCCTTCCTCTCCCTACCCCTCATCTTCCTTCCCTTCCCTCTCCCCTCTCTACCACCTCATCTTCCCCTCTCCCACTCTCCCTCTCCTCTCCTTACCCTCATCTTCCCTTCCCCTCTCCCTCTCCCTCCCTACCCCTCATCTTCCCCTTTCCTCTCCTACCCCTCATCCCTCTCCCCCCCTCATCTTCCCTTCCCTCTCCCTCTCCCTACCCTCATCTTCCCTTCCCTCCCCTCTCCTCAACCTCCTCTCCCTAACCCTCATCTTCCTCTCCCTCTCCTCTCCTTCCCTACCCCCTCATCTTCCCCTTCCTCCCTCTCCCTACCCCTCCATCTTCCCTCCCTTCCCTCTCCTCTCCTTACCCCTTCATCTTTCCCCTTCCTCTCCCACTCCCTCTCCCTTACCCCTCATCTTCCCCTTCCCTCTTCCTCTCCTCTCCCTACACCCTCATCTTCCCCTTCCCTCTCCCTCCCTCATCTTCCCCTCCCTCTCCCCTCCCTCCCTCATCTTCCCCTTCCCTCTGCCTCTCCCTCCCCACCCTCATCTTCCATTCCCTCTCCCTTCCCTCAACCTCTCCTCTCCCTCCCTCATCTTCCCTCTCCCTCTCCTTCTCTACCCTCACTCCCTTCCCCTCTCCTCTCCTCTTACCCCTCATTTCCCCCTCTCCCTCTCCCTCCTGCCTCTCCTTTACCCCCATCTTACCCTTCCCCTCCCCTTCCCTCCCTCTCCTCTCCCTGCCCCTCACTCACTCTTCCTGCACTTCGTGTTGGCTTCTCTCTCCAGCAACTTTCGCAAGACCTCATTCTGCACTGCCACCGACTGCTTCGCCCAGTGCCACGTCGCGAAGGAGACCACGGTGCCAAAGAGGGTCAGGATGAGGAGCGACAGGCAGAATGGAGGCCAGAACCACTTGTCCATCTGGAAGGAAAGGAGACGTAAGGGAAATGGAAGGAAAGAAAAAAAAGGAAAAGAAAAGAGAATAAGGAGAGAGAATAAAAAAAGGAGAGCATAAAAAAGAGAAGAAAGCATAAAAAATGGAAGAGAGCATATAAACAGAAGGAGCAATAAACAGAAGAGAAAAAAAGAGGAAAAGAAAAGAAACAAAAAGAGAAAGGAAAAAAAAGGAAGGAAAAGAGAAAAAGCGATAGATAAATAAACAGATAGATTGAGAGAGAGAGAGAGAGAGAAAAAGAGAGAGAGAGAGAGAGAGAGAGAGAGAGAGAGAGAGAGAGAGAGAGAGAGAGAGAGAGAGAGAGAGAAAAGAAAGAGAGGAGAGAGAGAGAGAGAGAGAGAGAAAGAGAGGAGAGAGAAAAGAGAGGAGAGAGAAGAGAGAGAGAGAGAGAGAGAGAGAGAGAGAGAGAGAGAGAGAGAGAGAGAGAGAGAGAGAGAGAGAGAGAGGAGAGAGAGAGAGAGAGAGAGAGAGAGAGAGAGAGGAGAGAGAGAGAGAGAGAGAGAGAGAGAGAGGAGAGAGAGAAGAGAGAGGAGAGAGAGAGAGAGAGAAGAGAGAGAGAGAGAGAGAGAGAGAGAGGAGAGAGAGAGAGGAGAGAGAGAGAGAGAAAGAGAGAGAAGAGAGAGAGAGAGAGAGAGAAGAGAAAGAAAGAGAGAGAGAGAAAGAGAGAGAGAAACAGAGAGAGAGAGAGAAGGAGAGAGAGAAGAGAGAAGAGAAAGAGAAGAGAGAGAGAGAGAGAGAAGAAACAGAGAGAGAGAAGGAGAGAACAAGAGAGAGAGAGAAAAGAAAGAAACAGGAGAGAGAGAGAGAAAGAGAGAAAACAGAGAGAAAGAGAGAAAGAGAGACAGAAGAGAAAGAGAGGAAACAGAGAGAGAGAGAGAGAGAGAAGAAAAAACAGA